ACGTGGATGGAACTGGAGGGTATTATGCTGAGCGAAATAAGTCCATCAGAGAAAGACATGTATAATATGATATCACTGATATAAGGAATTCTTAATATCAGGAAACAAACTGAGGGTTGCTGGAGTGGTGGGGGTGGGAAGGATGGGGTGGCTGGGTGATAGACATTGGGGAGGGTATATGCTATGGTGAGCGCTGTGAATTGTGTAAGACTGTTGAATCACAGACCTGTACCTCTGGAACAAATAATACATTATATGTTAGAAAAGAAAAAATAAAGAAGAAGATAGCTGGAAGGGAAGAATGAAGGGGAGGAATCGGAGGGGAAGATGAACTATGAGAGACTATGGACTCTGAGAAACAAACTGAGGGTTCTAGAGGGGAGGGGGTGGGGGGATGGTTAGCCTGGTGATGGGTATTAAAGAGGGCATGTACTGAATGGAGCATTGGATGTTATATGCAAAGAAGGAATCATGGAACACTACATCAAAAACTAATGACGTATTGTATGGTGATTAACATAACATAATAAAGGTGATTTGTTTGCTTTCTAAAAAAAGAAAATGGAAAATAAGACCATCCACCAGAAATTGACTTCAAGGGAAGATCCATGTCTCAGTCTTAGCACTGGAGGAAGGTAGGACAGAAAGAAAATCTCTCCCAAGAATCTGACCCATAGTCCTTGCTTTGGTTAGAGTTTCAATTCATGCAGTCAGTGTGGTCAAAGACCTTAAACAGAGAATATAGGTAGTTTACCCAGGTGACTAACAGGAGCAAATGCAAATTGTCTTGTAATAATGCCATTGATTAGAAGAGGAGAACCAATTTCAGAAGTGTTAAAATGTGGAAAAACAACAACAAAAACATGTGTCTTAGAAACAGTGAAATACAGTACTTAGAATTTCCTGGTATATAAAAATTAATTAAATATTGCTTACATAGGAATAATTTGCTTTATGCCATACTTTATCAATGATGTTAACATAATTTACTCGAGCAAGCACAATGCAAGGGGAAATAGAAGCAAAAATATATATTATGATGGGCACAGAAAGTTATGCAACATTCAGAATGTCTACCTTAAGACCACAATCAAGGTGTAAAAATTAATATGCTTATCTCAAAACCCAGATATCTGACAAGCATATTTTTAGTGCACACCACTTCTTTTCCTAGTTTCTTTCCTCTGAATGTGTCTACATACTTGGAATACATTTTTATGGGTCACAGATAAATTTGCCCTTGATTTTTACAGTTCAACAGGAAAATGTAGAACTCTTAAAAAGCAACTTCTGAAAATAGAGATTAGGAATATATGTTTAAAACCTATATTTAAACTACAAGATGCTCTGTGTGCTAAACTTGACTCCACAATGCTTCTGTGGCAATAGTACACATGGTCTTTACCATGATCTCAACCTAAAGCCCTAGATTTGTATGTGGCAGCTCTAAGTCTACATTTCTCTTATGTTTATTGGTTTGGTTCCTAAGAAATGTAGATTCAAGGGCTGTGTCTTGCTCAAGCTGGCATCCCTTTTGTGGGTGTGATAATTCATGTTCTTATAGGGACAGGAACTGAGGTTTTGGTCTTCACTGTCAAATCATCTAATTGACCATCAAGGTTCTTGGTGATGGTCTATGATCCAGAAATCTCTCTCACAAGCAAGCATTTGACCCAATAGAATTTTAAGATCAAATGGGTCTAGACTACAGATGTTTGGAATGGGATGGATGTCCTAATGAGTGTTTTCAGAAATCAGCTGTCTTCTGGGGGCAATGGGCCTAACTGCTGATCACTAACCCTTACCTAAAAACACAAGGGTCATTCCCTTTCCTCTTCTTTTTTTGAACATAACACAGATAGCCTTTCTAAATTGAAGTTTTCAAACTTTCCTTTTCATTAGTTTCAAGTGTTCAGTGGTGATTCTCTTTTTCATGTCTTAAAAAAATGAGTTACAGATTATACAATACTTGAACATAACTATACAATTTAAGAGGGGTTTTGAGACCTGCGTGGAAATACTCAAAACAGACAACTGTGTTAGAAACTAAAAAATGGCTAAAGGTTTTGCTGAGGAAAACCCCACCCTCTTTTCCTTCCTTACAACTGTTAATGATGCATCAAGTGGGATACCTCTTAAATGAGAAATGGATGAAGTAGGTGCTTTGAATAGAAATAGGAAATAAAGCTCTTCTGTTGAAGTTAAGGCCTTGGTACAAAATAACGTTTATTCAAGTCATTCAAGCAACTCCATTCCATTTCACAAAGAATAAAAAGACCCCTTAGAAGCCCAGACACCTTTTCCTTGCCTTCTTACAACAAAAATAACCAAAAGGAATTCATTCCCAAGTGTCATTGGATGCACAAGCTTGCTTTTCTACTCTCTTGTGTTAAGAGGGTAAATGGATAATTAACTGCTCAGTGCTTTTCCTTTTGTTGTGAAAAACGAAACCCTGTGTATGTGAACTTTTCTCCCTTTTTCTTGACCAACAGAAAATGTCATTTTTATATTGTTTTATACATATATAAAATACATATCAACACATTTATGCACAAATGGGAAAATGCATAAATACACATATATGCGGAAGTAGAATATCTCAATGGGAGAATAAAATAAATCTAAATTTGTGTTTTTCCCAAACACATTCAACTCTCACTATTGATTTCACTGAAAATATTTCTTGGCTACTATACAATTATGGATCAATTGTTTGTGGATAATTCTTTCAGTGAGTGTATATTGGGTTAAGGGCTTGGTTAAAGACAGAAGACTTATTGTAGTACAGAACTGAGGTCAATTTTGAAGTCCTACACTCCTCCTCAAGTGATTTTATCCTAAGCACATTAATATAGGCCTACTCATTTGCCCCCTTTGAAGCCATGTGATTTTCTACAGGACCCGATTTCATCAGGGTCCCAAATGTCTGTCTTGCCACCATTCTGAGGGATATCTATATTTATGAGCAAAAGTCAGTCAGAACTCACCTCTCCTTCCCTGGGCCAAGGCCTTCCATTCTGGGTGTATTTGCTTTGATTCTGTCGCTTCTTTTGTCCTCCATCAGCGAATTTGCACAGTAAAGGCTCACTAGGGGCTGGGAAGATAAGAAACCAGTTCTACATTAGCAAATCCCCCTTAAAAACAAGTGATTATTTGAGTCACAGTAGTGCTTTGTAATGCCTATCTTTTGAAGTTGTCTTGCTTCTGGAGAGATATTTGGCCCCCTCTTAGTCTCAATTATGTTGCTGCTATTCTAACTGGGCTTCAAAAAAGTACTGCCAGACCACAAAAGAGAACAAAAAATATTGTTGAAAAAATGATCAGTTGAAGCAGAATGTGAACTTGCCTTAAAAGTAAAGAGGGGAATGTTGACTCCTTCCAGTTATATTAATGCTAAAAACCAGACAATGGGTCCAAAATGGAGTCACTTATGCTAAGCTCCATGTCACCAAACCAAGACCTAACTTAATTACAGTTTTGGCTCTCCCAGAAATGGAATTTTAAACCAGCCAATCAGGAGTCACCTGATCAGGGGCACCTGGATGGCTCAGTCGTTAAGCGTTTGCCTTCGGCTCAGGTCATGATTCCAAGGTCCTGGGATCAAGCCCCGCATCAGGCTCCCTGCTGCACGGGAAGCCTGCTTCTCCCTCTCCCACTCCCCCTGCTTGTGTTCCCTCTCTCTTTGTCTCTCTCTCTCTGTCAAATAAATAAAAATTTTAAAAAAATTATAAAAAAAGGAGTCACCTGATCAGCATTAGTGAGGTAATTTACCTGATGACTCCTGCCATCCCCTAAAGAAAAGTGATCTTGCCACAACCAATCCACTTTTTGCCACTATAACTTTCTTGTTCCTGCTCCCTTCTGCTATAGAAGCCTCCCATTTGCAGAGGTCCTCAGAGCTCCTCTCTACCTGCTTGAGGAGAGGCTGTCTGATTCACAAATCCTTGAATAAAGTTAATAAGATCTTTAAAAAGTACTCTGTTGAATTTTGCTTTTTCACATTAGAAATATATTCATAACCAGTGTTTGTGTGTAGATAAATATTTCCCCCTCAAATTAACTATGTTTTCACAGTAGAAACTGTAGGATTCTATTTTGGAAAGAGATCCTTAGGAGCTACCTTCTAAAAAGGGAACCATTTTGCTAATTACAACCAAATCAGTTTTTTTTTCTCAATCTCTGTAATTTCAAAACGGCTAGAAGCTGATTGTCCATTGAACCCCCTTCACTCCAATTTCCCAGTGAAATCTAGTCAGTATCCCAGGGAGAACAATTATTTGAATACCAAATGAGCCCACATGATAAAATATAGTCAAAGGATATGGCTCTTAACAAATGAATCCTGGACTGGGGGAAATGTGGTGGTCCTGGGTGACTTGAGTTGACTTATTTGATAATCTTTTAAAACACAACAGGGAGAAACTTATTCTTTGAGAATTGATGCCCCCTCCACATCCCTACATGACTAGAAAAATTGCTGCTTGTTACTATGACAAATATGTTTAAAAATGAATAAAAAGAAAGTCATATTGGTCTAAAAAACTTGATCAATGAATTAACATGGCTGGGAGAATTTTTTGCTAGTTTATTTGCTTGGATAAAACAAATACTAATTTGTAAGTTTATGATCTGAAAACTAAAATGGACCCCTTCCTCCCCTACCCCCTGGGAAAATGTGTTCTTCTAAAGATTAATTGTATTAATGGTTGAAGGGGAGCAGAATATACCCCTGAAGAATATGCCTCTTTGGCATAAGGATTAATTTAGGCTGATTATTTTTAAGAAACAACAGATAGAGGAAAAGCTCTGAAAACTGACTGGAAGTTACCCTTTTGTAAGAGACATTTATATTTATAAGGGAAATCTCTATTTGTAATAGTATCCCCCTCTTTGTATCTGGAAGAAAAGAATACTCTAAATCTCAAGAAACTCTTATCAGTGGAGAAGCAAGGACTTAAGTCTATGCAACAACCTTACCCTTGTTTACTGTGCTTTTCCTGGTAATCCCCCACAACCGGCCTCCCTGCCCCCTCCCCAGCATCTTCTTTTGTCTTTAGCTGAAGATGGTATTTAAGATGGTGACTTCAGCCATTTCAGGGAGTTACTAGGTTTTCCTGGATATCTCCACACAAGAGGCATATATGTTATTAAACTTCTTTTTGTTTTTTTCTCCTGTTAATATGGCTTTATGGGGGGGAGGGGAGTCCCAGCCAAGAACCTAGAAAGGTAGAAGGAAAATTATTCTTCCTCCCCTGCATGATCTTAATTCTTTATTTTTTTTTTAAAGATTTTATTTATTTGTTTGACAGAGAGAGACACAGCAAGAGAGGGAACACAAGCAGCGGGACTGGGAGAGGGTGAAGCAGGCTTCCCACTGAGCAGGGAGCCCAATGCAGGGCTCAATCCCAGAACCCTGGGATCATGACCTGAGCTGAAGGCAGACGCTTAATGACTGAGCCACCCAGGTGCCCCATGATCTTAATTCTTTATCCCTCCTTGTATTTTTGCCTTTTGCCATGTAGTATTGTTGAGTCCTCTGAATCTTGGTCTGATTCCATGTGAATTGCTCTAGCCAATAAAATGTTAGCAAATGAGACACAAGCAGAAGACTAAAATGTTTTTAAGCATTGAGTTTTGCTTCTTTTGCTTCTCTGCATAACCACATGAATATGCTCAACCTGGCCTGCTGAAGGATGAGATACAAGTGTAGATGAGTTATCCCTATCATCAGAACCAAGGCCACCACCTGGACATATGAGTGAGCTCAACTAAAATCAGCAGAGATACACAGATAGCATGCAGTTGACCCCAGACCAGGTGAGGTCAGTAAAGATGATCCCACAAATTTGTAGGCTAAGTAAATCTTTATTGTTTCATATCACTAAATTTTGCAATTGACATGCAACATCATAATCTTAATAGATAACTGATATCATTTTCCCCAACACCCATTCCTCCCCATTTCCACTCCAGCTAGCTTGTTTGCATTTACTAATCTGGATAAAGAAAAAAAAAAAGATTATGGAATTCATGAGACTTCCAGTTGCCTCCAAAATCAATAGTGGAAAAAGAAATTAGTGTGTATCCACAAATAAATATTTGAAAATCATTTGGCTTTAAGTGGCAGTAGTATTTACTCAATCCTTTTAGTTTACTCTTTATTAGCAGCAGCGTTCTATTAACCAATATTGAAGGAAAACTGACTCAAACAGACAGAAGGTCAGAATTGGTTGGGCAAAATTAAAAATAAATTGTCTTGCCTGCCTATAGAGGAGGCATTGCAGGGGTGGAATATGTAACTCATCCTGGCACATAACTCAACCAATGTCATTCCTCATGGAGCACAAGTGCTTCCCAACTGTTTGCTTTTGGGAGCCCCCAACTTCAGTGACTTTGGTGAAGCCACAGAAATCACACAAAAGGAAAGGCTGAATCATGAAGTGTCTGCAGACAGTTGCTGCCATGACACTGAAGTAGTCTAAATTCTTTCTCCAGATGAACTGAAGGGATAAATGCAATCAAGGATCCTAAAACTCTATGCTAAAGAAAATTTCCTGCGAGACTCCAAAGGCATATATAAATATGTGCTTATAGTGAGGAATAATTATATATATCATATATATCATTATACATGTATAATCATTCCTCACTATAGGATATTTTCTCTCTTGATATTTTAAAAATTCAAGGTATATTCACTCATTCAAATGGGATGGTCATGCTGACATGTGAGTTTGTAACTGGCAATAGTACAAATTTCTCACAAAAGGCAAATAAATCTAGAAATATCTTATATTTCCTGCTGAAAAAAAATGCAGATTCTGCCTTTTATTCTTCTTGGGATAATAACTTCCATGAGTCATACTTTCTACTGTCTGAGGTAGGATTCTCTTTATTGTCTCCTAAAATGGAGTCTTTTAGAGTATATAATATACTGATTCTAATAGTCTAGAATATGATGACTTCTCTTGAGGTCATTCATGTTTCTGTAGGCTTTGTCACTTAGTTTGGGTGCATTTCAGTGTTTAGCAGTCTGTTTCCTGGCTCCCTGACTTACTAACTACAAGACACCAGACACCTTAAAATTTTTTTTTAATATTTCTGTGACTCATTTTCCTCATGTATGAGATGAGGATAATAATGTTACCTACCTCAGGCAGCTGTTGTGAAGATTAAATAAATTCATGTGTGAAAAGGGTTTAAAACAGTGTACGGTACATAAACGATTATTAAATCCACATTAGCTACAACTATCACTATTGCTTAGTATCTTTATTAGCCACTGCCCATGTATCAGCTATGAAACCTAGTTACTTAGCAGAGTCAGAGTTCAGAGTGTTTAATCAACGAGGTTTATTGTTCCTCAGCTCTGTCCCACTTTAACTCCATGGTTGGTTTGGCCACAGAACTTGCAACTGACTGCCCTCCAAGAACAGTGAAAAGATTTGCTCATTGAGAGGATCCATGTTTCCAAGATGGTTCTTGCTAACTGCAGCTTGTCAATGGACCATCCGGCCAGCTTCCCCTCCTGAGTCCTCACCAAAGTTCGACTTCCAATATCCCCTGAGTATGATACAAGTCATGTTTTCTTATGTATGTTAACATTCCATTGCCTACACTGAATGCTCCCTGTTCCTTTTTCTGCTGTGGTTTTAAAAAAATTATTCTTACTACTACTATTTTTTGTTACTCAATTGCTAGAGATCTATCGGCTGTTTAAATCCATCAAATCTGTATTTTACTGCTAGGATAAGTACTGTGCTGTCTACACATTATGGGCAAGCAAAAATCATCACCCCAAAATGTGTCTCTTTGGCATGTATATACCCACACATATATTTAAAGACCTTCTTGGTGAACCCTTGTAAACTATGGAATTAGGGGAACAGCATTGGCAGGAAAAGAAAAGGCTCTGAACAAATTATTAACCTTAGGATTTCTCCTACCTACTGGCATAGAGAAATTTTATAGAAGCCTCTTAAAATAAATATTACCAAATAACAA